AGGGGGGGGTTGGGTCCCATCCAGGGGGTCGGCAGGCTTGGGGCGCAGCGAGGGCTTGATGACAACATGAGCAGGCAAACTGTGGGACCAGAACCAACAAGGTTCCCAAGTCCCTGAGCCCAAGGTATCACGACGTGCTCATGTGCGATGACGTAGTGCGTCGGAGGTAAAGCCCCCCCCACCCCCCCTTTCCCCAGACCCCCCTCCAGTTTCGATCCTCAGAGATGGAGATATCATTTGCAAAATAAAGACATGTCCCATCCTTTCTGAAAATGAAGAACCGTGTCCTCCGATCGGAGGCAATAAGTGACTTGTTCTATGCCAACACTGTCACGGGTACCACTCCATAGCATGATGGCATTTTCATGGTTCCCTGACACCAAGCAGCGAGGGACCGGAACCGGCTGAGCTAATGGTCACAACACGGTCTCACCTACATCGGGACGGGCTCACAAGTTACCGCGGTATGGGCAGCTCCGCTACCCAAGGCGAGCAGTGCTGCAAGCTGCCGCCGCCAGAGGAGCTGTCGTTAGCAGATGTTAGCACAGGACATCTACACATTGTGCTAGGAAGGGAAAAAAACACAACAAAAGGCGCTAGCTGAAATTCCCCCCGCCGACCTCGCTGTTCCTTGACAAAGAAATCACCTTCTAGCAGCAGCAGCAAATGCCAAGAAAGAAAATGTATCTGTCAACCAACCTGGTTTACATCAGCTCTTCAGTCCCATAACGTCCAGTTATCCTGAAGCAGCCCTCGGAACCTGAAATTCTCCCCAGTCCATTCTCCGTCGTCTCCAGTAAATCCAAGCAGCAGAACGAAATTCCCATCAATCATAAGTCAGACACTGATAGAGCGTGTATTAAGAGACCTACTGAAGTAGATGGTCACCAGAGAAAATACCCAGTCCTGACGCATATCCAGGAACAAAAATAGAAATGGGGCCCCCAAAGGGATTATACAACAGCCCACATTTAGAGACACTTTCAGCAGGGCACACAGTCAGACAATTCAGAGTGCTCTGTTTAGTGATTAAGTAGGGTTTTTGCAGTTAAAATTTTATGATGATCATAAACAGAATGTAAGCAGAAGTACTGATAAATATCTGCAAATAGCTAAACATAATTTAATATGACTCTTAACTAAGATAAGCACCAACTGCTATTTTGACAATAAGCCTCATTCTTTTTGGCAATCAGCATATCAGTTTAAATAAACCTACCGAAACAAAGACAATATCTACACTAGAGGTTCAGAGGAAATGTACACACCCTTTCAGCCGAAGCTACATCGCCACCGTAAATCCAGTTCTCAGTGAATCAGATTCAGAATCAAATTTAAGCACCAGATACATTTCCGTCCACCCAGAATTTGTCCTGGTGAATTTGATACTACATTTGCCAGTGAAAAGAATGCACAGTACTCTATGAATGCCACACACGTGAGTAAACACTGCAATTCTGTCTTAAGAATACTACAAAACTACTTGTTAGAAGTACTTACTATTACTTAAACTACTTACTAAATAAATGCAGAGAAAGGCGACTTCTGCATGCGGTAATAGTCCACGTGCAGCAACAGTACCTACAGCGACACGACCCCTTCGCTGAGATCGGATAGAATCCAGCACCTCAGCTCCCACCGCTGGGATGCAGCTGCAGCCGACCCAGGAGGCAGAAGGACCTCCCTAGGGTTTTCAGCGTGTGTGCAAAGTGACTCCTTCTGGCAAAAAATTGTTTTAAAGGGAAGCAGGACTGGCTTTCCTGTCACTATCCGAGCCACTGTTAAATACAAAGCTCCATACACCAACAGCATTAAAATGTAGCAGGGAAAAAAAAAAAAACACTGGAAAGTAATTTAATCCACCCCACTTAAGACAAAATACAGGTTTGCAATCTATTCATATAGTTTAACAGAGAATTGTGCTACTGTATGTACCAAAAATAAGAATGGATTTCCTGTGTGTTTTATTTACTAGTAACTTCATATAACTAATAACCACCTTGCATGCATTCACATTTACAACAGTCTGGAGTTGTGGGTGAGCCTGGAACCAATCCCAGGAGACACAGGGCATGAGGCAGGGCGATGCAGTGGTCGGGATGGCAGTCCATCATAGAGAACTAACGCAAAGAGTCACAGAAGCAGGAAAGCAGAAACCCACACACACGTGGGGGCGAACACACAAACTCCTCAAGCAGAGCCAGAGCCCAGGAGCTGAAACCATGAAACCAGAGGCATGAGACCGCTGGATTCTCCACCGAGCCTCGGCGATGGCTGAGAAACAATCCGATCCATGGATCCGGTACCTGAGACAGCCAGGATCCTGCCTGGTTAAGATGCTCAAGCGTCCTTCGTAGATGATGCTTCGCGATCCGTATGCATTTCCAGGAATAATCCCTTAGACCGCCGTTGTTGATGGTTCAGGCGGGTGTCCCTCAGACAGAACAACCACCCAAAGCCCCTCTGAAGCCCAGTCATCCCTCAGGATCTAATGTTGCCAAAGACACCTGTTGCCCCCCCCCAGGCAGGAGAGGCAGGCTGTCAGTAACAGGAGGGTTCCTCCCCCCCCCCCCCCCAGCACCCATCCCGCCGTGTCGGTTTACGCCAAATGCCCAGACAAGCTTGGCCAATTTTAGACTTCAGACTTGCTCCTGAAGAGAGGTCAGGTAGCTTGTAGCTCTTGAGGTAATACCAGGGGACATGAAAGGGGAGCTCTTTTTTTTTTAAGCCAGGAACCCCCCTTCCCAAAAACACAAATGTACATAGATTACATCATCAGCTAGCACTAGCACGCCACACGAGTGGTTAATTATTCATGCAAGAGCACATGATCTCTTTCATCAGACTGGCAGCCGACAACGCGCTAATGAGATTTCGACTTGGGGTAAATCAGCAAACGGTTCAATCAGGTTAATTTGTAGCTTAAGCAACTAGGGCGACACACGAAGGTTCTTAAACATCAGCACCGCCCATTACAGTGTCGCTCATCTCCGCTAATGACTAAAGACCCAATGTACCCAGTGACTCTTCTCTCATTTGCTCGTCTACGTGTGTGGGCAGGGCTGAGAACTTTTTTCTTTTTTTTTTGCTTCACAGCACAGCTGCAGCAAGCCTCGGGAGGCGACTGAGACTGCTACATCCGCCCAGGATGACAAGCGAGACGAGCATGTCGCGATCTCTGATGTGTGAATCATCTAGGTGTGAGCTCCAGTGGCACGCGAATACAGAGAGGCACCTGTGAGAATGCTGATGCTGGAAATGGGAAGTCATGGACTTTTACCACATTCCTCAAATTTCATTACCGAAAATGTTAGCGCATAGCGATATAAGGTGCTTTATACCCAAAGTGGTACAAAATGGAATTTTTTAAGGTGGGGGCTTAAGAGGGGCAATAATTCATGCAGAGAAGCCAACCTTAACATTAGCTAATAATCTGTTTTGAACTAAATTGTGATAGGGGAGGGGCCACTGCAGGGGCCAATCAGCTTTCAGCTGGGCCCGGTGCCTTTGTAGCCCCACCTCTGTACACTCCCTGCACGTTGCCATTCCTGGAAAGCAATCGACACATGAATGATGACCAGGAACACTGCAAGTTCTGTTGGGGGGGGGAGTTTCCATTCCACAGCCCTCCACGTCGCAGAGATCGCCCCCCCGGGCGGCTCATACCAGAAACAACTCTTCACCTCCGAGACATTGCAGTGACGGGAATCTGTTTTCGGTCTTTGTTTTTAGAGAAGCAGCCCCTGAGAACACTGGTCAGGAAACGATTAGGTTAGAGGAAATAGGCAAAGAATAACCCTTGACTGAAGATCGTAATTAGCAGCCTGCAATTGCAGGCTGCTCGAGCCCAGCAATCAGAAGGTGTTCTTAGCTGTCTTCGCACCCAGTAGCAAAAAATCTGTTGGAGACATCTCAAGCCAGATGGTACGACCTGGCAGGGAACGTCGTCACCCTTCTCTTGATGCATTTTCTTCAGTCTTAGCTGCATCCTTCCTAGTGCTTTTAGCCAAATGTCTTTAACATAAAAATGGTGTCATATTCTTAATTGGTGCATGTGAGTGAGGAGGCAAGAATCACTAACTGACGACCAGGGGCCTGATGATACTGATACTGTTTTGACCATGGAAGATCTCTTATGTTGGTTTTGTTGTAGAATTTTTGCTTCAGTTACCCAAGCTGGCAGTGAGATAGTGTAACCTGCTCTAATTGGGATAGACTGCAATCGTGCACAAAATAGCTAGCTAGCTTATTTAGACGGAAACATATCGGCATGTAAAGAGTCAGCTAGCCGATCGGTTGACAACTTGTAAATAAATGATAGGATACGTATCACTCGCTGACATGGTTCAACACGCCCCTGTCAGATCGTTTACAACTTTGTTGTGCTATCCTACAGCTGTTTTGTAAATGTGGTGTTTGATTTCATCAAGAAGTTACTTGTTCAGCGTTATCGGGTTATTCCTAGGGTTCACCCCAACATCCATATTTCACAACCATGTGTTTCCTGAAGATGAAACACTTCCATACATGAATCACTGTACTCACACCCCAGGCTGGTAATGGTGTGGAATTCATGACAATGTCTAATTGCTCCATGTATGGTTGTGGTGAATGTCTAATTGCACCATCTGTTTCTGTAATGCAGGGTTGTGCTGAATGTGGCGCCCATCCCAGACAGCAGCAACGATGTTTTGCACCACTCAAACCTCACATTTGTGTGGGGCCGTTGTGGTTTGACAGTCTGTCTTGCCCACAAACAGTCACTACACTGAGGGAGAGTGTAGCCCCAGAAACAATAAACCCACCCCAACCAGTCAAAGAACACCCTGGATGGGAGGCCACTAAGGGCAGTGTAAAGTCTCATTAAGGAGAGTGTATAGTCTCATTAAGGACAGTGTACAGTCTCACTAAGGGCAGTGTAAAGTCCCATTAAGGACAGTGTATTATCTCACTAAGGGCAGAGAAAAGTCTCACTAAGGGCAGTGTAAAGTCTCATTAAGGACAGTGTATAGTCTCACTAAGGGTAGTGTAAAGTCTCATTAAGGACAGTGTATAGTCTCATTAAGGGTAGTGTAAAGTCTCATTAAGGATAGTGTATAGTCTAACTAAGGGCAGTGTAAAGTCTCATTAAGGACAGTGTATAGTCTCATTAAGGGTAGTGTAAAGTCTCATTAAGGGTAGTGTAAAGTCTCCCTAAGGGCAATGTAAAGTCTCATTAAGGGCACTGTAAAGTCTCACTAAGGGCAGTGACTCACAAAGGGCAGTGAAAAGTGTCCAACATATGCAAAATTTATGTATTGGGACAGAGGGAGGAAACAGGAGGACCTGGAAAAACACAATAACTCAGGGATAACAGGCAACTACTCACCTAGAGGCAGTGCCGGAGACAAAGCTAGAAATTCTGCCCCCCCCCCCCCCCCCCCGCCCAATAAAATGTCACTTTGGGCCCCTGCTAGGGTACCGCCAGTATACAGGAGGAGGCTGACAATACATTTGGGGGCCCCTCACACCTGCTGGGTCCCCTGAATCTGCCAGGGTCTCCATACTCCTCTGACCCTCCTGGGGCCCCGGAAGCGTAAAGCCAAAGTTTTAGCCATTGGGACGCAGTGAAAACACAGCAGTTTTCAAACAGGTATTAAAAAATCAGTTGCTATGGTGATGACAGATTTTAAATTACTGTTGCAGTTGCTACGTGCTTGTTTGTCATATTAGCCAGATGACTTTTATATTTTTATTTAAAGCAGCTAAATAACTTTCAGATTTAAAATTTGATTGATGGTTGGGTATTTTCTTTGGCATATGTTAAGTGTGAACAGCAGTTCCTTAAACAGTACAACAGGTAGTGGAACATAAAATGAATCCATGGATAAAATTATATATTCATTTCTGAATGTCGTGACTCACCAATCACTTCCGTTACTTTCTGGCATGACATCAAATGTGTTGTTGCCCAGGGACACTTACAATACTGTTAATCTGACCCTGGGTCTAACCACTCGTCTGATATTTACTGGAAATTAATGGAAGCATTCTGGCCAGATGGGACATTGCCATCTAGTGGCCATTTTCCGTAATATCGGTGTTACGTATAGTTGCAGTGTTAAAATCATAGATAGGCCTATATAAAGTTGCATCTACTTTGGACACATGAAAAACTTTTCGTTATTTACAGGGTTTAAACGGAGACAGTGAGTGATCAATAACTGTAAATTTCTTTCTCTCTGTATATGGTCTTTGCCAAACTTAATAAGAAATCTGTTAT